CTGGTCACATTCTTCAGAAATACTGTTTTGTATATGTTGAAGATCATTTTTGAAAGAGAAGGTAAAAAGCAAAGACATGTATTGTTTTCAAGAGTAAGTGTCTTCTTGTAAGTTTGACTTTTATGGATAAGTGTGAAGAGGTTCAATGTGGTCTTGTTACTAAAAAACCTCCTTCTTCCTCAGTTCAATTGATCACATTCTTTAGTACACTGTTTTATACATGTTGAAGATCATTTTTGAAAGGGTAGGTAAAAAGCAAGGACTCGTATTGTTTGCAGGAGCAAGTGTCTTCTTGTAAGTTTGACTTTTATGGATAAGTGTGAAGAGGTTCAATGTGGTCTTGTTACTAAAAGACGTCCTTCTTCCTCAGTTCATCTGGTCACATCCTACAATACACTGTTCCCGTTCATTTAGCCAATGCAACAAACCTGCCTCCAAGTTACTACGTAGTAATCAGTTACTTAGTTCATAAACATACTTCCATCCTTTTCTGTCAACGTACCAAAGAACGTTAATAGTCTATTCCCAAAGTACAATTCCGATTTCTCGCGGGAAATAGGAGTTTGCGCTGCAGACCCATTTTTCCGATTGGATAAGTGTGTCGAGTAACGGGAATATTTAAGGGACGGAAAATTGGGGAAAAGAAGGGGAAGTCGGTGGTAAAAGTGGTCGTGGCCGGTGCTAGTCAGACGGGCGGCTAGGTACGGTACGAGTAAACGCTACCAACCGTACAGCTGATGTTCGTTCGATCAATACGGGGCGTTGCGGCACGAAACGCTATAGAGTATGTCACGTGGCTTAGCCCGGCCCATTCTGAGTCCACGGCTCCATTCCCTCTTCTGCCCTTTCTTCCTTTGCTCCTGCCCTTATCCTGACCACTATATTCCTGGTCCCTCGATTCTTGAACGATCCAATGACCGATTGACCGATTAAAACGGAGGATGAATAGAAGTGACTTCTATTTTTCGAACCGTTTGGAGATTCGGAACCTTAAAGGACTCGGATCCTTCGGTAGAAAATTAACGAGACGGTATCTAGCACAGCAGACATGGAGACGCCATCGTGACCCACACACTGACGACGCCCGGACGCGTAATACGTATTTCGAGCAGCGCGATTCCTTGGGATGCTTCTCCTGTAATTAAGGGATGCTCAAAGAAGCACTTCTTTCGATAGGCGGTCTTGTCTAACGAGACCCTGAAGAACTGCCTTCCGATCGGATTTAAAAATACTTTACCTCTTTCGAGGGAACCGAACTTATTTAGCTTGCTCTGATTTACATACTTGTGATTGGGGAAATTGAATCGATTGGGTTGTAGGTAAATTGTATGGTATAAAGATGTTGTTCTTTAACATCTGCTTAATACTTTGCTTGTCTTGTATTTAATTTAACTTGTATATTGAAACATTTACCTTTTTCAAAAATATTTCAATAAATGTATAAAATGTATAAAATGTATAAAATGTATAAAATGTATAAAATGTATAAAATGTATAAAATGTATAAAATATCTAAAATGTATAAAATGTGTAAAGTGTATAAAATGTCTAAAATGTCCAAAATGTCTAAAACATCTAAAATGTCCAAAATGTCTAAAACATCTAAAATGTCCAAAATGTCCAAAATGTCAAAAATATCCAAAATGTCTAAAATGTCTAAAATATCTAAAATATCTAAAATATCTAAAATATCTAAAATATCTAAAATATCTAAAATATCTAAAATATCTAAAATATCTAAAATATCTAAAATGTCTAAAACATAAAAAACATCTTACTAAATATCCAAAATGTCTAACGCATCTAAAACACGAAAAATATCTAAAACTCCATATCGATATGAGCCCTTGAATATATAAAAAAATTCCTAAACATAAAAATTAAACATCAGAAGCCTTGAATTCTCAAATAAAAAATTGCGCGATGAGAAAAATGTCAGCAGAGTTCCCCAGCTTTCACGCGCATACAAAATCGAGTTAAGTATCTACCGCAAACGCGTTCTTACGAAATAAACCCAAGTTTAAAGCTGTTCTTTGACAGGGAGATCCGTGAAACTCGAGTTGTTTCGCGAGAACAGGGAGCGGCACGCTTTTGAAGTTCAACGAACTGTAAAAGCTCTCCCGATATGGTTAACCGATCTTAAAATAACCGTCCGGTATCTGTTTTTAATTGAAATTTCAAAGGGCGTCTTTATCGATCGCTTCTTTTCCTCCCACGTTTTTTTTTTTTAACTAACAATCGTTCTAAGAAGGTTCCACGCAATTTGTCCCGGTTACGCGTATCGCTGGTAGTTTCTTAATTAATCTCTGTACGACAACCTTGTTCTAACATGTTCGTTCCACGTTGCGTGATTTTCTGCCTTGAATAAACGTGACGTTGATTAAACCTTTTTTCCACGTATTTTCCATTTTTCTTCCGAAGCTGTTTCACCAAGTTTTTCTTACCTTTTGTTCAATTTGCGTGTGGACGAGTATTGTTGTGTTACAATATGATGCATTATGTATGTTGGATTTATGGTATGTCTTTATGTAACTGCCTCACTATGATACTCAACTATGATACTCAACTATGATAATCAACTATGATAATAAACTATGATAATCAAAAATGATAATCAACTATGATAATCAAAAATGATAATCAACTATGATAATCAACTATGATGATCAACTATGATAATCAATTATGATAGTCAACTATGATACTCAACTATGACACTCAATAGTGATATTCAAAGATGATACTGAATAATGATATTCAAACATGCTATTCAATAATGATTTTCAAACATGATACTGAATAATGATGTTCAAACATGATGCTCAACTATGATATTAATATATGATAATCAACAATGACAATCAACTATGATATTCTACTATGATAATCAATAGTGGTATTCAAACATGATACTCAATAATGATATTCAAACATGAAACTCAATAATGATATTCAAATATGATAATGAATAATGATGTTCAAACATGATACTCAACTATGATATTAATGTATGATAATCAAGTATGATACTCTACTATAATACTCAATAATGATATTCAAACATGATACTCAATAGTGATATTCAAACATGATAATGAATAATGATGTTCAAACATGATACTCAACTATGATATTAATGTATGATAATCAAGTATGATACTCTACTATAATACTCAATAATGATATTCAAACATGATACTCAATAGTGATATTCAAACATGAAACTCAATAATGATATTCAAACATGATACTGAATAATGAAATTCAAACATGATGCTCAACTATGATACTCATGTATGATACTCAACTATGATATTCATCTATGATACTCAACTATGATAATCAACTATGATACTGAGTTGTGATGCTCAACTATGTTGTTCAACTATGATATTCAACTATGATACTCAACCATGATACTCAATTATGATACTCGACTATGATACTCAATTATGATACTCAACTATGATACTCAATTATGATACTGAACTATGATATTCAACTATGATGTTCAACAATGATATTCAATTTGTTTGTGACGTCACGAGAATTCATTTATTCAGGCAGTGAAGTAGCGCAATCACATTTCTTTTCCCATCGTTTCGCCCCACCCTCGAACTCGATGACAAAAGTTCGCCGCGTTTCCCGATAAGTTGCAAACTTGTCCAGCAATTGCATCTGCGATCAACTCCCCCGGATATTAGAGAGTTCGATCGATTCGTTTTCATAACACTCGCGAATTAACTGGAAAACGATCGGAAATCTCTCGACGCCAATCGTATTAACGGTCGATGTTCATCGTTGCGATCGAAACAATCGACCATGAATTAGTATGCGAATATTTGTACGACCCCCTTTCAAAATCTCGTCCTTAACCTAGCTAGTTAATTCAGCGCCTTCACCTTTGCGTGATGTTATCGACTTCCCGAGGTTGGCGAAATTCCGTGCTGAAGCGGAATCGGTGAAAGTCGAATCGATCTTTTCACCGTGTGAAAATCTTTAATCCGAGTAAGTATCGTTATTTGTTTGTGACGTCACGAGAATTCATTTATTCAGGCAGTGAAGTAGCGCAATCACATTTCTTTTCCCATCGTTTCGCCCCACCCTCGAACTCGATGACAAAAGTTCGCCGCGTTTCCCGATAAGTTGCAAACTTGTCCAGCAATTGCATCTGCGATCAACTCCCCCGGATATTAGAGAGTTCGATCGATTCGTTTTCATAACACTCGCGAATTAACTGGAAAACGATCGGAAATCTCTCGACGCCAATCGTATTAACGGTCGATGTTCATCGTTGCGATCGAAACAATCGACCATGAATTAGTATGCGAATATTTGTACGACCCCCTTTCAAAATCTCGTCCTTAACCTAGCTAGTTAATTCAGCGCCTTCACCTTTGCGTGATGTTATCGACTTCCCGAGGTTGGCGAAATTCCGTGCTGAAGCGGAATCGGTGAAAGTCGAATCGATCTTTTCACCGTGTGAAAATCTTTAATCCGAGTAAGTATCGTTAATTCGAAACGATGAGGGAATAATGTACCGGCTAATTCGAGCGCGTTAATTCGACTTTATTAACTGTGGAAACTGGTCTTCCGGAAATTTGTCTTCTCGGAGGAAGATTAATGAACCCTGAGGGAACGTTCAATGAGGCGATCCGATGGACGCGTGGAAGTTTGAAGAACCCACGAGCCAATCAAACCGCGGTCACGTATTTCACTGAGGAACGTCTTACGTATTTCAGCGCGATTTTGTTCGCTGAAACTTTCATCTTTTTCCCCCCTTTCTTTCGCTCTTATTTTCTCGTAGATGAAGTTTGCCGTATCTCGCGATCACGTTCGTGCCGAGGTAAATTTAAATTTAAAACGAAACAGCGGCACGAGCTGAATACTTTAGCGCCCTTGTTATACGTACAAATATCGAATCCCGCGTACGATCACGAGGTAACTGGCGTAAACCACGCTTTTTATTCTAGAATCGTTTTATCGTAAAGAGAGCTTACCTTAACGTGAGATGTGTGGCTGGTCGCGATGGACGAGGCAGGCTGTTGCTGTTCGTTGTGCGGGCTTTTACTTCAACTTTCGCGGACTCTCATCTTCCTTCTCGCCGCTTCTCTTCAGCGGACCGCTTCTTCACTGTTTCATGCCGTTCTCAGACACCGCTGGTCCCAACTTCCATCTACGAAAATACGCAAACGCGCTCACATTTTTAAGTGCACTCCTACCGCAACTTTGCTTTACGCTTCTCGCCTTCTTTTCACCCTATTATGCGCGAGAGGGATTATAGAGGCTAAATGTAAGGAACGCTATTCCAAACTTAACTTTGACATTTCCATTCCGTTAATGCGCCGCCATGACCCGATTCAATTAAATTATCTAACTGCCTGCCTAACTTTTTACATTTATTGTTCTAACCACGAAAAGCCACTTTATAATATGAACACTTTAACTGAAGTTGCAGATGCATATCATATAAGACCACACATCACATATGACCACATGTGATCACATATGAAAACCATGTTCAAAATGTTGAACTCTTAACATTAATCTTCTTTCATCCACTTTTTCTGTAAATAGTTTTAATGAATTTGCAGAGTAATATCATGTAAGACCACACATCACATATGACCATATGTAACCACACATGAAAACCATGTTCAAAATGTTGATGTCTTAACATTAATCTTCTTTCATCCACTTTTTCTGAAAATAGTTTAAATGAATTTGCAGAGTAATATCATGTAAGATCACACATCACATATGATCATATGTGATCACATGTGAACATCATGGTCAAAGTGTTAATGTCTTGATGTAGACCTAAATCATTGTCCTGATATTCAGTTGCTTTCATGTATTTTTTTTTGTAAATACATTAATTGAATTTGTAGAGCAATATCATTTAAAATCACACATCACATATGATCATATGTGATCACATATGAACATCATGGTCAAAGTGTTAATGTCTTGATGTAGACCCAAATCATTGTCTTGATATTCAGTTCCTTTCATATATTTTTTTTTGTAAATACATTAATTGAATTTGTAGAGTAATATCATGTAAAACCACACATCACATATGATCATATGTGACCACATATGAACATGTTCAAAATGTTAATGTCTTAACTTTAATGTCTTTTGATCTACTTTTATTGTGAATACTTTAAATAAATTTGCAGAGCAATATCATTTAAAACCACACATCACATATGATCATATGTGACCACATATGAACATGTTCAAAATGTCAATGTCTTAACATTAATGTCTTTTGATCTACTTCTTCTGTAAATATTTTAAATGAATTTGCAGAGTAATATCATTTAAAACCACACATCACATATGATCATATGTGACCACATATGAGCATGTTCAAAATGTGAATGTCTTAACATTAATGTTTCTTCATCTACTTTTATTGTGAATACTTTAAATGAATTTGCAGAATAATATCATGTAAAGTCATATGTCATACATGATCATATGATCACATATGATCAAAGTGTTAACGTGTCGACCTCCGAATTCCAAGCCTCTCCGCCATAGATCAACTCTAAAATCGATTCATTTTCCCGGATCACTGTATAGTCCTGCTACACGCGACGTTTCCTACTCGAACACGTTAGGTCGACATTAATGCGTCACGGTGTTCCGTGACTCAGCCTGAGCGTTTAATATTCGCGTGCAAGTGACACGACGTCCACTTTCGTCTGATCGAGATCGAATTTTTCGAGCATCGATGCTCGAAGAATATTAATAGAGCGAAGGATTTCCGAAATTGTGGCGATCGGTATTATGGAAATTGATCACGTTGTACTCTGATCCGCGACGTGTCCCGTTTACCCGGAGACCCATGAAATTCGTTAAAAATTCAATAGCAATCGTTCGCGATTGAAAATTGATGGCAGCCGGAGTCGCGGAGCGTATCGCTGCTACAAAATCGATATCCTTCCCGGTTAAAGGATACGGATTTATTCCTCGCGTTCGTAAAATCGCATGGAAACACGAACGTTCCGAGGAAGTTTGCACGATCGGTCTGCATCACGAATCGCCGCCGGCTTCCGAGCTTCCGTCTAGAATAATGAAAGAACTTTTGAAATTTTTACGTCGAGTCTTTCGGAAGAAGTTGCTCGTGCTTCAAGAGGAACGAAAAACGTCCTACTTCCGTTTGACGAGCTCTTTCCGGTAAACAGAGACAATGGTCCGCCGAGAGAGGCAACTCGACGGACTAATTATTCGACGAATTAGCGAAAAGACTAGGACGAGAGGAGTGTCTCGAAGCGTCGACGATCGAGAAATCGTCGGCTAATTATTCCTAGTCTTTTCGTCGGGAAGACGCATAACGAACTAACTAGCGTGGGTTAGCGACGTGCACGAATCGGGCCACGAGGCCAAGGTTGTACGTTAGTCGTTACGTTACTGCCAACACCCCGGTCAGCGGCAATTCCGAGAAAGCTGGCGCGACTCGGCGTCGCGATGCACCGACTACCTTATTTGCATGAAAAATTTCCAGTTAACGAATCCGGCATTCCAACCTTCGATTATGGCCTTGCTTCCTTTTGGAATTTTCAAAAGCTGGAAGTATAATTGGGAGATATGTAGTTTGAGATTTCAGAGTTTGGGAGAGGGAAATTTGGGGATGTGGGGATTTGGGGATGTAGGGATTTGGAGGGGTGGAGATTTTGGGAATGTAGGAATTTGGAGGGGTGGAGATTTTGGGGATGTGGGGATTCGGGGATGTGGGGATTCGGGGATGTGGGGATTCGGGGATGTGGAAATTCGGGGATGTGGGGATTCGGGGATGTGGGGATTCGGGGATGTGGGGATTCGGGAATGTAGAGATTCGGGAATGTAGAGATTCGGGAATGTAGAGATTCGGGAATGTAGAGATTCGGGAATGTAGAGATTCGGGAATGTAGAGATTCGGGAATGTAGAGATTCGGGAATGTAGAGATTCGGGAATGTAGAGATTCGGGAATGTAGAGATTCGGGAATGTAGAGATTCGGGAATGTAGAGATTCGGGAATGTAGAGATTCGGGAATGTAGAGATTCGGGAATGTAGAGATTCGGGAATGTAGAGATTCGGGAATGTAGAGATTCGGGAATGTAGAGATTCGGGAATGTAGAGATTCGGGAATGTAGAGATTCGGGAATGTAGAGATTCGGGAATGTAGAGATTCGGGAATGTAGAGATTCGGGAATGTAGAGATTCGGGAATGTAGAGATTCGGGAATGTAGAGATTCGGGAATGTAGAGATTCGGGAATGTAGAGATTCGGGAATGTAGAGATTCGGGAATGTAGAGATTCGGGAATGTAGAGATTCGGGAATGTAGAGATTCGGGAATGTAGAGATTCGGGAATGTAGAGATTCGGGGATGTAGAGATTCGGGGATGTAGGAATTTGGAAGCGTGGGAATTCAGGGGTTTGAAATTCGGGAATGTAGGGATTTGGAAATGTAGAGACTCCAATGCGTAGAAATTCGAGAATGTAGGGATTCAGGAATGTAGAGATTCGAGGGCGTTGGGATTTGGGGACGTGGGGATTTGGGGGTGTTGAAATTTGGAGACGTTGGAATTTGGGGGCGTTGGAATTTGGGGGCGTTGGAATTTGGGGACGTTGGAATTTGGGGGCGTTGGGATTTGGGGACGTTGGGATTTGGGGACGTTGGAATTTGGGGGCGTTGGGATTTGGGGACGTTGAAATTTGGGGACGTTGGGATTTTGGGACGTTGGGATTTGGGGACATTGGAATTTGGGGACGTTGGAATTTGGGGACGTTGGAATTTGGGGACGTTGGAATTTGGAGACGTTGGAATTTAGAGACGTTGTGATTTGAGAACATAGGAATTTGGGGATATAGAAATTTGTGGATCTAGGAATTAGTGGATATAGGAATTTGCAGATGTTAGGTGTTATTATTTGACGAAGTATAAATTTGGAAATGTAGTTACACAGAGCTGCAAGCATTTGAGCATACTACCACATTTGAGTACCTTTTTAGAGACATACAAATTCATGTCCAATTTATTTGAAAAAATTTGCAATTTGATAATGTAAATATTTAATAATATAGTAATTCAGAAATTTTATAATTTGGCAATGAAAGTATTTGAGCAAATTAAAAATTGTCAAGCTTGTATACATGTTCTGACGTACACTGTACGTCGATATACGCCTTCGATCACGCGTAGTCATAACTGGCAACGCTTTCAGAAATATCGAATCGGTTCGCGACGGAATAAGGTTAACGTGTCAGGACTAAAGCTACGCGTACGCGTATTTCCGAGAAAACAGTTATAGCGTGATAAGTATAAAGTTGCTTCCCTTTCCGCGCTCTTCGTCGATGAAATTGGAGTAATTATCACCTATAGGTCGCTTAAACTTTCCAAGGGACTTCTAAGTCGTTAACCATTCCCGCGTTAGTCGATTCTTCATAAGAGGATCGATGTTCAACATTTGTTGAAAAGAAACGAGCTTCTTGTTTTTAGAAAAAGTTAGATATTCGTAACAGATGTATCTGGAAAGTATTCGTTGGAGAATTACAGTATGACGTACATTAATTTTTAGTTATCGAATAAAAGTCTTGGCTAGGGCGTTTTTTAAACTATGGGTCACGGGGTCAACAATTGTTGGAAAACAAGAACATTAAAACGTGATTTCCTTTCATCGATTTCTGTATGCTCGGAGCAAATGGAACTTTTCATATGTGTATTATTTGCGAAAGAAAGAAGTTATTCGTGAGAATATATTGATTCGATATGTGAGTGTGGGGTTAACCCTTGCACTGGTATGACGAGACTGACGTACTCATACTTCGTTATTTTATTTGAATTCATATGCTTTTGGAGTTCGAGAGTAATTATGCTTAGACGATCGTATTGATGTTACGTTTCGACTATGTTTTAATTTTGGTGTGATGCCCTTGACGCACCTGACGCACTTGACGCATCTAATATACGTGACACACTTGACGCATCTAATGCACCTGACGCACTTGACGCACCTAATACACTTGACGCACTTGACGCACCTAGTACACCTGACGCACTTGACGCACCTAACATACTTGATGCACTTGGCGCACCTAATATACTTGACGCACTTGACGCAACTAACACACCTGACGCACTTGACGCACCTAATATACCTGACGCACTTGACGCACCTA